TGCCCCACCCCTGGAGGTGTTCAAGGCCAGGCTGGATAGAGCTCTGAGCAACGTGATCTAGTGAATGAAATCCCTGACCACAGCAGGAGGGTTGGACCTAGATGGTCTTTAAGGTCCCTTCCAACTCAAACCAGTGGTTTGGTTACAAAACCAGGGGCTAAGAGTTGATATGGCTAAGGGCATAATTAATCTGGGTGCACAAGACTGCTCATCAAGTTCACACTGGGGGGACCCAGGGGTCTTAGCTGTATAAATGAAAACAAACAACTTCATATAAGGAAAATTAATACAATGCAACCTCTTCTAAGAACTCAGACTGGTGAATAAATATGCTAATAATTTCAGGAAAACAGTTAACACAGTCCAGCCTTTTTCTAAGAAACATGTTGAATGTGTATATCTCTACAGTATAAATAAACTGCTAATTCAAGGGATAGGAGATAGCCCCGCGTGCCTGGCATAGAAATAAAGTGATGCCTGCTTTCTAATCCTGCAAAGAGTGTTGGAAAATTTTACTGATTTTTCAGTTACAATTCCATGACACTAGGATTCTAAGAACCAGAAGCAGTTCTTCACATAGCAAAAGCCTTCCCTTCAGCAGCTGGCAACAGAAATGACAAGAGTATCAATTTCGATTCTGAAATTTATTTCTTTCCACCGTCTTTAGAAGATGCTTATACTTGTAGAATAAACTTACATATTACTCTTATTTTCACATTAAAAAAATAACTTTATTCCCATACATGTCAAGGTGAAAACTGAGTGGCAGCAGCACCACTGCCCCCAGCTGTAGGGACACCAGTGATGTAATTGCCCTTGCTCAGCCACAGGCTGTTCCGTGTGAGTCTGGGAAAAACTCCTTTCTTCCCCCACCAAAAACTGGGTACAACACCGAGTTTTAACCTCTAAGCCTCCTTATTTATCAATTACTAAATCATGTCTAAAACAACCACGCTGTCAATCACTCAAAGTCATTCTCCCACTCGGGCGCATTTCTAGCGCAGCTCTAACCCCGGTTCTATCCCGCTGTCCCAGCTCCACGGGAGCCTTTGCAGCGGGACAAGGCCTCTGCCCTCCCGCCTGCGGGACAGGCCGAGCCCCAGCGCCAAAGGCACCACCGTGTCACCACAGGCAGCCGGATCCCCTGAGGGGCCGCTCCCCCCTCGGGCGCTGCCGGGGGCGGCTCCGGTGCAGCCCCCGGGGCCGCTCCCTGCCCGGGCCCGGCCCGCGGCCTGTCTGACCTTCACCCGCCGCCGCGCTCCGCTGCCCGCCCGCCCCGCCAGGCCCCGGACTTGGCGCCCCCCGCGACCCCGCCGCCAGCCCCGCCCGGGGCCACGGCCCGCCCGCGCCCCCCGCCCGGCTCCCGCCCCGCGCCGCCCGGGTCAGGCCCGCCCGCAGCCGCCGGGACGCGGAAAGCGGCTGTCACGGCCGACTGTGCCTCTCCCGCACCGCCCACGACGTCCTCGCGTCCGCCTCACCGAGAGCGACTGCGCGGCCACCGGGAAGCCCCTCATCGTCCCGCGCCCCTCGGCTCGGCCCCGGCCAGGACAAGATGGCTGTGCCGCAGGG